AGAAGTAGCTAAGATATTTTTAGTTAATCCTTTGGAGAAAGGTTTAACCTTGCAACCTTTAGTCTCGGCTTTAGGAAAATATCACATTTATCTGTGGATTTTCAAAGGCTCCGTGTATTAATTTAATATATATAACTGAATATTAAGATGAAAGCAATTTGCCATTAACTGCCAGTGGCCTCATGTGTTACACTCGGGCCTATAGGGCCTCGAACCTCTGACCAGTCTTACACGGTCCGCAACAACTATGAGTCAGAGTGAACCCAACAGCAGTGTTTTTGAAGGAGAGCATCTCTACAAGTTGTAGAGAATTTGGAGGTATTTTGTCGTTGTTGTTGTTGTTGTTAAGTGCCGTCGAGTCGGTTCAGACCCATAACAACTCTATATAGGGTTTCCAAGGAGGAGTCCTGGTGTGGTGCTGTGGGTTAATGCGCCAGACTGCAAAGCCGTTTGAACTGCAGGGTCGGCAGTTCAAGCTCACCAGCTGCTCCTTGGAAACCCTGTACAGGGTTGCTATGGGTCGGAATTGACTTGACGGCACTTAACAACAACAACAACAAGGTCCTTCTGTAAGGACCTCTGGTTTTTCCAGATACAAAATGCAAGCATGTTGTGGTGGTTGTTAGTTGCCATCAAGTCAGTTCCAACTCATGGTAACTTTATGTATAACAGAACCAAACATGGTACAATCTTGTGCCATCTTCATGGTTGTTACTATGTTTGAGTTTGAGTGTCTTTCAACTGGAGGGGCTCATTTCCTATCACTGTACCCAACAATGTCATGTTATTATCCATAAGGTTTTCATTGGCAAACTTCAGTAGATTCTAGAAATAAGGAAGGATAGATATTACCATATCAGTAGTTTTTATGCTAAAGCCCAATATTTTTATCTAGCATAAACAGCATTACTCTGAGTATGGTGAAGGGTAGGGGAAGGCACTTACCTTCTTGCAGGATGTGAGATATATTCCTAAAACAAATTTTTAGAATTATTAGACTAGATCAGCCTGAGATTGATTCTAGTTCTGCTGTTTGTTAATTTCTGTCCAGGAACGACCTCATAGGTTTATGAATGAGTTAATAAATAAAAAGCACTTAGACTGCTGCTCGGAATATAGATGCTAGCTACTATGTTGTTGTTCTTATTATCACTGCTTTATTCCATTTCACACAAGTGACATGTTCCAGTGTTATCTTCCTACAGAATATCTATCTGATCATGTCGCTATTCTTGTCAAAAAACCTTTGAAGGCTCCTCATTACCTTTAGAATTAAAGTTGAACTTCATTTTGTGGTTTTCAAGATTCCTCTTGTTAAGAGTAATATGGGCCCTTAGGAAATCATCCATCTCAACTCCTTCATTTTTACAGATGAATAGGCTATAGCTTTCCAGACTTCTCTCTCATTGTACTACCACACCAGACTGACAAATGTCACCTTTCTCCTTTGAAAACCAGTACTGCATTTGCCTTTATCCATTTGATCACCTTATTCAAAGTAGCTCATAAGGCTTTGTAACTTCCACTCTGTATCATCGTGCTTCAAACAGTCCAAGAAAGATACTACCATATCTTTCCTATTTGCTTTAATTAATAAATTCCCCCTCCCTTCCTGTGATTATAAAGTAAGGAACAGTTCTCAGTACCTAGAGTCCAAGGATAGTATCCTGAATTGATATGAAGAGGTTGGGTGAGGAAACTATGGCTTCCTCAGAAACTGTAGCTTTCAGTTTTCAAAGAAAAGGCCCAGAACCCATTTCTATTTTGGAAGAGCCATAAATCATCTCTGGATGGTCTAATAAGATTTCTATCTGGGTAAGTAGTAAAGGTGCAGCTAACCACTGTGGCTGCTTTTTCCACTAAAAGATTGAGGTAAAGCTAGAGGCAGCCCACACTGGGCTAATGACTGTGAAGACCATTAGAGATTTCTCAATCCTGCAAATTAGCATTTGGTGATAAGATCACTGTATCCTGCAACCCAAATGAGCTTTTTTCCCCCATTATCTGGGGGTCATTTAGTTTTAATTACTTACCGTAAATTTGGGAAGGTAATTAAATTGTAGTTCTGTGAGACTTGATTACCCTGCTACTATTAAGTCTGGACTGAGTGGCAGAGTGGGAGCATGAATTTGTCCAGAAGGGAGTTTCTAATATTAATGGCATGCTTGTCTCTACAACAGTGGTGGGCTGCTAAGGCTTTCTGGACAGTGGCTTGGCCACCTGCCCAAGGTCCTCAGGGATTGAGGGATCTTAATAGGACCACCTTGGGGAAGGTGTAGGCGAGACTATGCAGAGAAGGCTCCTGAATGTTTTTCTCATTTTCTGCCATTTCTAATTTATATGACATCGACATTCAGGTATGCAAAGTCTAGTAAAAACTTCACTGTCAAGGCTTGAATATCAGTCCTGTATTCTAACCAGATATTCTTTATTTCCTCATTGTTGTTAGATGCCATCTAGTCAGGTTTTTTACTCCTTTGTCTTTATGTAACAGAGGAGAACTTCCCCATAGGGTTTTCTAGTGTAATCTTTATAGGAGCATATTGGGTGGATTCAGAGCTGCTGGGTGGATTTAAATTGCCAGCCTTTCAGGAGGCAGCCAAGTACTTAATCATTGTCCTACCAAGGCTCCTCATTTATTTCTGTTGTTAGATACCGTTGAGCTGGTTCCAACTCAGAGTGACTGTGCACATCACAATGATACGTTGCCCAATTGTGTGCCATCCTTATAATTGTTGCTATGTTTGAGCTTATTGCTGTTGCCACTGTGCCAATCCATCTTGTTGGGGGTCTTCCTCTTTTTCACTCACCCTCCACTTTACCAAAGATAAAGTCCTTCTCCAGGAACTGGTCCCTCCTGGTAACATGTCTGAAGTAGGAGAAGTCTCATCTTCCTGGTTTCTAAAGAGCATTCTGACTCTACTTCTTCTAACACAAATTTGTTCATTCTTCTGACAATCCATGGTACTTTCAATATTCTTCTCCAACATCATTGCTCAAATGCATCAATTCTTATATGGTCTTCCGTATTCGTTGCCCAACTTTCACATATATATGAGATGATTGAAAATACCATGGCTTGGGTCAGGTTCACGTTAGTCCTCAAACTGACATCTTTGCCCTTCAACACTTTGAAGCAAATTTGCCTAATGCAATACATTGTTTGATTGCTTGACTGCTGCTTCCATGAGTGTTGGTAGTGGAACAAGCAAAATTAAGTCATTGATAACTTCAGTCTTTTTTTCCATTTATCGTGATGTTATTTATTGGACCAGATAAAAAGATTTTTGTTTTCTTTACATTGAGGTGCAATCCATAGTGAAAGCTGTAGTCTTTGATCTTCATCAGTGAGTATTTGGAGTCCTCTTTGCTTTCAGTATGCAAGGTTGTATCATCTGCATATTGTAGGCTTTTAATGAGTCTTCCTCCAATCCCCATGCCATGAATCCTCATATAATCTAGTTTCTCCCATTATTTGCTTAGCATACAGATTAAATATTGTGAAAGAATACAACCCCAATGCACACCTTTCCTTGTATTAGACCATTTAGTATCCCTTTGTTCTGCTTAAATGACAACCTATTGGTCTATGCACAGGTTCCTCATGAACACAAGTAAGCGTTGTGGAGTACCCATTCTTTACAACATCATCTACAGCTTGTCATGATCCATACAGTCAAAAGCCTTTTTTGCATAGTCAATAAAGTAAACATCTTTCTGGTGTTTTCTGTTTTCAGCCAAGATCCATCTGACATCAGTAATGATATTCCTAGTTTCATATCATCTTCTGAATCCAGCTTGAATTTCTGGCAGTTCATTGTCCATGTACTGTTTTTTAATTATCTTCAGCAAAATTGTATTTGCATGTTATTATTAATGATATTATATGATGATTTCCACATTCGGTTGGGTCTCTTGCATACAAATATGGGTCTCT